CCTGCTGACTGGCACAAATCTGTCATTCGGTCAGTTATTAATGAGCCTCTTAGGGATCCCTCTCTTTCTTTGCCCATCAAGTCCCAAAATAGGCCATTCCTCCAAAACCAGAATTTATTATTCATCTTGGAGACTGAGATTATTCTACTTCAGTAGCGAAGTGAAAATCAGCAATAAGAAGGGAAGCCTAGAGCTTTTTTAGGAACAGTTTCCTTGTTCATTCCTCTACTATAATCTTTCTTCAGAACCCTCAGGTGGAAAAGTTGCAAACTCACAATTTTTTACTGTTTTTTTCTTTTACGCAGTGAAACAGGCAACATCCGAACTCTAGTTTTCCCAGTGATGTATATAAACGAGGTAAATATTTGCACTGTTTCTTTGCAGCATTGGGGTATGTTTATGCTTGCACAAATACTGTCTTTGAGTTAATCAGAAAAGAAATGTTGTTTCCCTTGTTTTATACAGTGATAAGTCAGCCCCTCAAAACGCTCTCAGTCAGACAGTCCTTTTAATTTCAAAGGTGTTGGCTGTGAGGACAAGTGCTCAGGTTAGGAGGCAGGAGTTCACAGGATCACACCTTTTACGAGTCGTCTTTTATGAATACTCCTGTGATGTAGTTGGATTAATTTGGTTCAGGGAGTACTCTAGAGGCCTAGTTTTGATGACATACACCATTATTCCAGGCCTATATTATTCCATTCCTAATAAGAGTTAAAAATCACGACTTTGTTTTAAAATGCGGACTAGATGATCCCTCTGGCCACGTGAGGAGAGCTGAGAGTTCCTGGAGGAAACGTGTATCACGAAGCAAAGAAGTGGAGAGTTCTGGGAATGTTGTTTCCCTACCCTTCATGAAAGTAAAAGTGGTCTAATACAAAAGAAGAACAGAAATAAACCTTTTTTTCTTTTTTTTTTCTTTGCCTCTTCATCTCTTTCTGCTCCAGAGTGTTCTGATTGATGAAGCGTCTGCCACCAGACTCAAGCATGTCCTGCTGGAAGCCAGCGCTGTAACTGCAATCCCCTTCGTAATCATGGCTCTAGGAATTGGTTTTGGAATTGTTTTCATTGTGCTTGTGTGCAGGTCCCGGGGAATAAGTGAAGAGGCAAGTAACATTTGAATTTGAACTTCCTGATCGTACATTTGCCTGTATTTGATTTTCTTTTGATTTTACCTGTTTGGTGTCTTTCTGCACACAAACATTTTTACATGTTGTTTTTGTTTAAAATGACCTTTCTAGGGAAGGGAAGTTTTAATAGACTCAGAATAAATGCACCAAAGCAAAGGAATGGAGCTAATGTAAGAAACATGGTAAGGCAGGTCGTATCTTCTGTGCCTAATTCCCATGGCAACAGTAGTAAAAAAATAAAATAAATCAGCCTGTCTAGAGGACCCTGAAGGATAAGATGCACAAAAGTCCACCAAATTTGATGGAGAGATTTAGTCAGCAACAATCTGACAGTGTTCTCCATGGAAACAATTGTGTTGTGCCAGCCAATTAGTTCTTTAGAATCACAATGCAAATTTACAGCCAAATAATGGGTGAATTTTCTAGACAACAGCATGCAGATGGTTTTGTCCAGCCTGCAGATTTGTACGTGTATTTATGAAGACGTGCGTCACCGAATGACCTGCTGGCCTTGAGGTCGCTGGTGTCGTGGTCTGAGCTGTTGAGAACTGGTTCTGATTAACTCAAAACGGGACAGCTACTTCTGATGCCAAAATTTCACCCTACTAGGCAAGGCAGTTGCGTTCAGATGAGACAAACTACACACCGTTTGGTTAGAGAACTTGACTGGGTACTCTAGTAGGCTGTTTTCTCCTTGGAGTTGCTTTTCCTGCAAACTAAAGTAATTCACCTAGTTAGAGCTCCCCTTGTGATGCCCCTCCTGCCAGGGTGGTTATGGCCATCATCTCTAAGGTGCTATAGCGAGCGCCTGGCCCCTGCTCAAGCTGCCATCCACCCTCGGGTGCTTTTTTTAGTGCCATGCTAATGGGTAATTGTACTTAAGATATAGGAGCCACAAGTTCTTTTCCTTTCCCGTTTGAAGTCCCAGCAGTCCAGCTTCCCCACCGTGGAAGCTCTCTCATGTGCTGTATTTAACTTGGCTGTGATGTGATTTTATTTTATTTTTTTCTTTCAGAGTACTGAAAGTGAGCGGTCCCCACTCATCAGGACATCTTAGTAGATTTTCTTTAACATGTGAGCTTGGAGAATAAACTATTAGAGCTGACCTAATACCAACTACCACTACTCAGTGTTGTCCACTGTGGAGAAACGACCGTGTCACGTATAACTTTTTGTGGCGTAGAAGTGGAAGAGAATCTGCACTGTCATCAAGGGAGGAGACTTTTCTTACCAGCTAAGTTACGACTTTAAAACTGCATTTTAAAACTGCTTGAGAACCGGCTTTTTTCAACACTGCACTCTCTTTGTACCTGCACTGACAGCCATGGACGATCGTAACCGCTGTGTCAGCAAAAATAAAACAGCTCGATTCATTACAGAAACGACACGGGTAAAATTTGCGAATGGCCTTAGGAGTGTGGGCTGCCAAGTACCTAAGAAACAGAGCGGGCTCCTGTATCGCCCAGGAACAACGGACAATTTTGCTGTTGGCCTAGTATTGTCTTTTCTGTCGAGTGTTGCGCGTTACTTACTACCGGTAGGCACTGACTGTTTGTTATTAATGTCATTGGTCCTCTCACAAAACTGATTTGTACAACTAACCCAAAGCACTGCGTGAAACTGTAGTTACCAGGCAAAAAGAAGCCAACAATTTGAAATGCTCTTACGTATGGACCTCTTAACCATTTTAATTCTGCACAGGATCCCGTTGCATGTTAACGATGCGTTTATCCATAAAGGTTTTCTGTTGTTCTTTTTCCCTCCAACTCTAAAAACACAACACAACATTGTACTTGATGGTGGAAGGTACCAAAAAGACGTTGTTTTCTCTGATATTTTGTGTCACAGTTATCAGCTGTGTTGTTTAACGTGAATGCAGGCTTGGCAGTAACATTTACTGTTTAGGATAAAAGTACACTTCCACATTGAGGTATGTACAGGGCCTTGAGAAGTCACAATTTTGTTTTGTTTTTTTACTTGTCAGGTGCAAACTTGTTTTAAAAATAATGGAAGTATTTTTTCCCTAATTAAAAGAGTATTCTCATTGAGAAGTTGTGTCCATTGGATCTAGATAGTGAAACATATTTTTAAAATGTATTACTCTCCTCTAACTAGAGACCATGTTTGGTGTTGTTTTGGTTTGGGTTATTTTTCCCAGCTGGCAATTTGTTCTGCAGGGGTTTTTTTTATTCCTTTGGAGCCAGTTCCAGCCATGAAGTCTCTTGGAAACTGCAATTATTACCTGTATTAGCTGAGAGCACCCTGGTACAGCTCAGAGTCCTCACAGCACAGCAGCTGCATCTTTGCCTCCTGGGGAAGGCTGGAGCTGGTAGCCTCAACCTTGGCCGAGGAGCAGAACTTCAGCTGGACGTTTGCTGTGAGAATTGCAAAGGCTCCTAGGAGAAGACTGGCTGCCGAAAGGGGTGATGAGTTCCGATTCCCTGGTGGGCTGAAACTGCCGCCTCTTCTCGCTCCCCTGCAAAATGTTGCTTTCTGGGCTTCAGTGGAACTGCTTCGAGATCCCTGGCTGCTCTGCTTTTGGCCGAGTGCAGCTTTTCTCACTGTCAGAGGCTTTGATGGGAGGTCAAGGCCACCTCAGGGCTTTCATCTGCTCTGGGTTGCCCTTCCCTGGCTGGAGAGAGCCTGTCCCCTCGGGCTGAGAGTGGCAGATTTCCTTTCCCACCTGCCAGCTAGCCTAGAGCGGGAACGCCTGACCCTGAATGAATGGCGTCAGGAAGCGGATGGGGTTAAAGCTGCCTCTTCCAGTAAGGAAGTTGTCCTGTAAAAGGCGGGGAAGAGTTTAGAGACAGCCGCAGCGGCGTGGGTGCCGGCACCAGCACGGCACAGCCCTGTAACCTCTTGGCCGTGTCCCCGTGCTCTGCTCCGTGCCGTGGGTTACGGAGCCGGCACGGTGCCCCAG